TCTTCTCTGGGGATAGAGGTTCGCACTCTGTCGAGGTCGGCGTAAAAAGCCTCCTTGATGTCATCCTCTGCATTCAGTGTTGGGGAGTATGCACTGATGAAAAATGCATGATGTGAGTGATTCAGTGGGACCCGGAGTGTCATGAGGCGCTCGTTGATCCCAATAGGCTTTTCAGTTAGCCTGTATTGGATGCGTTGGCGGATGGCAAAGCCAACTCCATAGATGCGTTTTCTCTCCACAGCAGGCTTATCCTCCCAGACGAAGGCATAGCCAGACTCCTGTTCTGTGAGTTGACCCTCGTCTGGGAGTCGGGACTCACTATTGGTTGCTATGTTATGTTATACTTAGCCAGCTCTTTTGCCACAAAGGCGGTTCTTCTTTCAGGACTGAACTGGCCATTTAACCGTTGATTCTTGATGATTTAATGGAGCTGGAACATGTAAAAGTATATAGGGTTTTAGTAGCGAAACCCAACTGTCCTTTCTGTATTTATTAAGAAAATATATTATATACAATTCCAAGTGTATATCACCGTAACTTAATCAATGTAGCTATGAGTGTTAACATGAGGACGGAGGCTATATTAAATAGCTCTTCTAAAATACATCCTGCTTGTGTGAGAGAGTGAGTAAGAGTGCTCCTGTAGCCGACTTCTATGTGCAGACCTAACATTCTTAGGGCCGCTCCTTCAAGGAACTTACCCATCACGTGATGTGACCATGTCACCTCATAGCCAGTGGAAAGTTACAGGGGGTAATATGATTATATAAACTCAATGTACTACACTGACATTTATGTAAAAACTAAGGGGCTAATACAGGAATCTCATTTGTGCCAGCATCCAGAAGTGTCCTGACATTCCATGCAGCGACCATAAAAGGTTGTATAGTTTGTTTTGGTTTGGATCTGTGATTTTGACTGTGGTTTCGACCGCATAAAGATGACCTTACTGGGTGCAGTTACCCAGTCAGGTTTTTCTTGGGGTGAGTAAAGTGGCTCCTCGAAAAGGCTGTTCAGTCGCACAGAGAGGAACGAATTGCACTGCTGCCTAGATCCCAGTGCATAAATGACCATCTTACACAGTATGTGCCGCCCATGTGCAGAGTTGTGACTAGAGACTCCCGGCAGTCATCTCTGCCTCTCCCCGTCGCCACTCGTCCAATGCCATAGGACTTTTGGGGGTATAGGGGTTGATGATGATGAGTATGATGAGCTGAATGGTGGCTGCGTGTGAGTTGATTTATGTGGTGAGGCAGGAGTGCAGGCTGCAACCACACATCTTGGCTCTCCCTTTTCCTGATCCAGTTGTACAAATGATGCAGTGACTGGGGAGAGAGAGAGTTGCAATGCACTGCCGATAACCCAGTTTATTGGGTTTCGCCTAAGTATCCTGTCCATCATGCATTGCCTTCGTCCGCCTGTGTATTCATCGGGGTTCCATGGTGGTCACCTCTTCTGCCTATACCGCCATTAGGGTCTTGTTGGAGCTCTGTAAGCATGTCTGCCTGATGTGGGGCTCCACCACAGATTTTTCGTTTGGAGTTTACTCCCGTAGCCTTATACCTACCAAGGTTAATCCGCAAGGCAGCGGGGCAATGGTTGGTGGGTGCCAGGACGTTTCCACATGCCAGTGGGCCTATGCATCGTCCCTCTGGGGCCCACTGCTACTCCGAGATCCCCTGCTGGTCTAGCCTGGGCTCACGAGGCACCCGGTTACCATGCGGTGCTAACAGGAGGCACAGCAGGAGTCTTGGTGGTGAAGAGGCTGTGTAATGGCAGGGGAAGACTTATGCATACTTCTTCCCTGTCCGCCACGAGGGCTAGCCAGTGGCGGTATCTGAAAGAGAGTAGGAGCAAGCAGCGCTTGCACCTTCACACTAACATAATGCTGCCACACTAGACGAATTTCACCAACCTGTGTGGGAACACAACCTACCCTAGATGGCGCTCACAACATTTGAGGATGTTCCACCAACAGGCAATCAGCTCTAGAGATGCTTGCCTTCCTTAGTTAACCCTCGGTTAACTAGCAGTTCGTTGTGTGCAGAGTATGTAGAGGCGAGATGAATGTGCATGTACAGTGGAGAGTGACCTTTCTATATTACAATAGATAGATAGATAGATAGCAAGGTTTTTTAATCAGCAGCCAAAAAATCGGAGGATTGCAGTAATATCAGCTTGTGAATGTGTCCATGATGCTCTCTATCGTAGATATCCCGAAGCCAATGCTGATCGTCTATCTTTGCATCACATCTCTTTTCATTTGTTCAACCTTATAAAGACAACGAACACAAATTGAAACTTTCCTGCAACCTATAGTCACCCTCATTCACCCTCATCCTTCTCCACTCAAAGTGATTAAAGTAATTAAACCTAAAACCAATTTCAATTAACTATATCTCTACTAATTCCCTAATTAATTCCTAACTTCATTTTCTATTACCCTGCCTTTCGTCCTCAAGGAAGGGAAATTCATGCCTTTATCCATTCCGATTTTCTTTGAGCCTGTCAGATTCACAAAAAACCTACCATATCTGATACACTTACACTTATCTCCTCCAAAACTACTTTTTCTCCACCACACCCTTCTGGCTCACCCAATCTTCTCGGATAAACACAGACTGATTCGATGGAGCCACTAAGCCAACACGAATCTTTGACCTACTCTTCTGGAAGTATTCAAATCCGTATTCTATTATTGGTATCCTCACGGGCAAAGGAGAGCCTACGATAGGATGATATGGCAAAATCTCGATGGCCATTGCTTTCATTGTCTCTACGAGGTGATTTGTTGGAAAGAATATAAATCCTAAAGAAAAATCATATATTTTCGTTAACAGGTTAGAAAAAAAGGTATGGTACTGTACATCGGATTATTATTAATAAATTTGTGTATCTTTTTATTAATTTATTTTTTAATTTGTTTAAATACTACCAAAAATATGGGTCCAGATTGATTGACGGTCACTTACCTTTTCACCAGTAATATTTTCTCATGTTCATGAAAGTTCTTTTATTTTATACGATCTGAGGATGGAGAAAAAAAAATTCTAAATATCATATTGAATTATTGTGATCTGCCACAATTTTCTAGGGAGGGTCGTTTACCAGAAAAACTTCTTTTTCCTTGGCGAGTTTTGCGTGTGAATGCTAGGGGAGACTTTCGTACAAGCCACTCTTGCTAAATCCCTATTCCATGGGTAATCATACTCCCTTCTCTTTACTTATGGTAGCGCTCCTTTTCGCAATGTCGGCATGTCCCATTTTATTCAAAGTTGGTGTGACTCTCTTGCCTAAGAAAGTAATTTTTATCCATGTAGGCCATTGTTGTTACACTCTTTCGAGGGATCAGGACAAACAACGATTAGGCTGGTAAATAACAAAAATATTCATGGGAGAAGCGCTGATAGCGAAATGTTCACCAGTAGCCTTTTCTCTCAACACCAAACTGTAATTTAATTTATTATATACCTGTAAGTACTTTGGCAGGGGACAAGGACGAGGCAAACAGCGCATGGTAGTGGGTGAGGTGAGAAAGAAATGGACCAACCGGCTAACTAGGAACATGCAGAAAGAATTAATATGTTATCATTAATATGACATTCAATGTACTTTTGCCTGATTAGGGTAAACAGGTTTATGAAGTTTCTCCAGCGTGGCTGTCGAGGCGAGTTATACAGGTAGTCCCTCCCTCGCTTTACTGCCGTCATCCCCTCACTTCCCTCACTATGTTTATTTTAAAGATACGTGAATTGGACACAACTAACACTGGTATTATAAAGCAGACCCTGAGGTCTTTAAGTGCGTATTCTACGCTAATAAATACGCTAGTAACCACTATTAATATGTTTATTGCATAACTTATGTTGATTTTATGGAGTCTGCCGTTCACCTTTCACTGATATTCACAGTGAACTTTGCCATTTATTGGCTTCATCAGCTTTAAATTTCACTGTTATTAATACGAAGGAGTTGCACTTAGCACGTAATTTCTTATATTAATTTTGTCCGTTGGTTTATGAATAACTTAGGAATTTTTTTCCGAAAAAAAGATATGAGAATCAAGGACAATAAAATTTTTGTATCTGGACAGGACAGGCAATTTATAACATATTATCTTCCAATGCTTAAAGTCCAATATAGGTTATAACCAATAATAAATTACAGTCCCCCACGCCATTAAATTGTTGCCCTGTAATTTGAAAATAATATAATTTTTTATTTGATGTATGTTTTATTTATTTATTTTTTTGTACCACGTTTACTTAAATATCTATCGCAGTGAAATAATCAGAAACGAAAACTTGTTAAATTGCTGACGTAAAGTATACTATACTTTATTTATTCGAATATTGTAGGATGCAGTAATCAATAAAAGTACGATTTTCTCAAAATCTAGCCTGAGTACAATAATATACTACTAACTTTGCTGTTATGATAGCACATGAAAAAAAAAATGTTTTAGAAAATATACAAAAATTAGACTTGATAGTATTTGTGATAAACTTATTTTTATCATCTCATAACTTTATCCAGATATTGTACTATCTCAGTTTATTATTAGTGATATTTTAGAGGACTCGTCAAAGCCTCCCGGTTTGAACATGTCGTGTCTTCTTATGTATATTCATTACAGTATGCTTATGCCAGTTCTTTTATATTTTATTTGACTTACTGTACATAATTTCACTTGTGTATCGGGATTTGCTATGAATTTACCATTGCAATCATATTCAACTCATACACTTGTGATGGATCAAGACTTGACACAAGCTTGATTTGATCGTGAATGTTGTGCATTTAATCTAAAACAAAAATCTTACGTCAATAAAGAGATAATATTGTTAAATGTCCAGACAACTGCGATTGTTTTATAAACCTCTTATGGATATAAATAATACATATCAAGAAATAAAATCTCTATAGCCTTTCTATTTTTTCTCATTTTGCAAAACATTTTAATTTCATGAGAAAGCAATAAGGATAATAAAATTCTCTGGATTGCTTATCCTGTATAATTTTTCATATATTTTGCTTTCGTCTTTATAATGTTGTGCAATAATTTGTCAGAAATGCTAGGATCATTTATTGTAGAATGCTGCTTTTCCCTTCTTTGATCATTATCACTTCGATTGTAAATTTAAATCAGTAATAAATTCACAAAGAAAAGTAAAAGCTGCAAGGCTGAGGCCCAGGAGTAGTAAGAGCAGGGGTCCTTGCATGTGAATTACGGTAAGAGCCCTGATGGTATTCTCCGAATTTGAGTTTGCTGCTTCACTCTCATGCTGTTCCAACTCTTGTTCTCGCTGCCTCATGCGACTCTCTCTCCGTATCTCATTCAGCAGGTCATTACTCCATTTCTCGTACAATCCACCCTTTATAAAAGAAGATTAGATTGAACTTAAAATACCCTAGATCTTTGAGAGACAAATGCCTAAATCGCTAAGAAATCTCTATATAGAACTGATTCTAAACCTCTCTCAATTTCCTCTACAAGTGAAAACTGGAACGTAAATGTAACGTTTAGTAACTCATGCACTGTCACATAAATGGTAACTAAGAACTCCCCCCAACAATGTAGGTGGCTGCATTTACAAGGTTTCTTGCGAGGAATTTAGTATGTTCTACTTAGGCCAAACGGAAAAAGATCTAATAACTAGACTTAAACAGCATAAATATAGTGTTAGGACAGGTCAGGAATCTAATGCTTTGTTCATTCATATGAGAGATAACAATCATTGTATTGACTGTGCTAATGCCTCCTCAATTATACTTTGTAATTCAATTGTCAGCAGGAACATTATACCGAATCTGCATAATTAAGATTAAGATAATTTGTAACCAAGTAAAAGGGTTGGGTCACTACTTAATGACTTGAATATAGTGGACATCTGCTGTCCCTAGGGGTCGGATCTCACTCTCCATTACTGTGTATATATTGGCCTTTTATTAACTACTTCTTAGTCGATCTTACCGCTGTAGACGTGAATTGCACGAAAGGGCTTGGGAACTTCCTGTTTTCTGTTTTCCTATGTGGTTATAAACATATAATATATATTTATATTGATGAGGTTAGTCAAAAAGAACGATGCTCTAGCTAATTTAATCCCATTTTCACCTTAAGATGTCTTTTAGTGATTGACAATTACGCACAATATCAACCTGTAGTCAAACAAGCAACATAAGTAGTTCTACCTGCTCCCTGGAGATGTAACACTGGTGACAGGAATCTAAATTAATTCGGCCTATGACCAAACTTGCTGACTTCAGCCATTCTCGCACAATACAGCATTTTTTTTTTTTTTATACGGGATTAGCCCATCAGGGCACAGGTCAATAACCAACATCAGGGCCTGGGGGCGAAAATATAATAATAATAATAATAATAATAATAATAATAATAATAATAATAATAATAATAATAGTAATAAGGATGATGATAATTAATAATAAAGGAACAAAAATAAAAAAAGTAAAAAATCGAGTGAGAAACAATATATGTATGTTGTGAAGTCAAAGTAAGAGAAACGGTTGAGACCCGGCAATTGTGTGTAACTGAAGCAGAAAGTCAGATCAGCAACCTGGGACTTGAGTCACAATTTTTGTGATGTCGTATGGCAGCAGAGCCTACCCGACAATATATTATGCCTCCAATATCTTCCCAGGAAAAAGAACCTCCTTGTTTTATAGCTGCCTACTGCCTGTGGTGCCATTGTGTCACACTGTTACCTCTAGACCAATAGGACACTAAAAGCAGTCTTGGACTAGACTCTGATCACTTACGAGGCACGGGTAGTCCCGTATTGGAGGTTCACGGCACCTTAAGCTCAATGATAAGGCTTTGTGTGAAATATAGCAAAGTCTAGGACTGCTTTTAGTGTCCTATTGGTCTAGAGGTAACGTTCCCTAGTCACACACATAAGATCGTGAGTTCGAGTCCTGGCGGGGTGAGGTTGTTGATTATATATAGAAGTCTGAGCACTTTATGGGCTAATGAAATATATATGGAACCTTGTGATTCGAAGCCGGATTTGGTAAAACGTTACTCTGATCACTTACGAGGCACGGGTAGTCCCCTATTGGAGGTTCACGGCGCCTTAACCTCGATGAACAGGCTTTGTGTGAAATATAACAAAGTCTAGGACTGCTTTTAGTGTCCAAGTGGTCTAGAGGTAACGTTCCCCAGTCACACACATAAAATCGTGGGTTCGAGTCCTGGCGGGGTGAGGTCGTTGATTATATATATATATATATATATATATATATATATATATATATATATATATATATATATATATATATATATATATATATATATATATATATATATATATATATATATATATACTAGAGGAATCGCCGCCCTCCGGGCGGCTCTTTCGCTAGGCCACGGTAGGACGCCACCCTCCGGGAGGCTCCACATTGTCTCACTGTAGTGCATTAAGGTGTCTGCTTTGATCCTGACTTTGTACTCGTCAGAAGGCATGTTTTCCAGGGCATTTTTAAATGACTGTACATACGTGTTGCGCTCATGCAGCATTTCTTGGATAGATAGGACAATGTCATGTCTGACACCTTGAATGTTGCCACACCTGATAGTAGTCTGCTTTTCATGATCTCCCATGAAGTAGATTTGGAGGAACTTTGCCTGCTCATCTTCCAGTGGTAAGAGGGATCCTGCTTTGTGATAGACTTGACCCTGGACTTTGAATGTGGGCATGTATCCGTGCTCACGAACTACTCTGGTAGCTCCAAAGGATGTCATCTGGAAGCATGAATTGTACTTCCGTATATTTTCCAAGAAGTGTTTTGACTCTGGTGTTGTTCCCAGCATGAGAGTCTTCAATGGTTGTGGTGGTTTTTCCAAATTTGGCAGTCGTACTTTCCCATGAGAGCAGCACAGTCCAGCAGATTCTCCTTTGTACTTCTTTGCACGCAGTATTCACATTTCTTATCCATGTTGCCAATGACAACAGAGGGATACTTTTCATATTCTATATATAACATCATCCATCATCACTACATATAACACCATCCATCATCACTACAGATCGGTAAAGTAGTTTCCGAGATTCTCGTGCGGACAGACAAACAGACAGACTTCTTTGTTTTATATAGATATAGATCATCACTACATATCATCCATCATACTACATATAACACCATCCATCATCACTACATATAACACCATCCATCATCACTACATATAACATCCATCATCACTACATATAACACCATCCATCATCACTACATATAACACCACCCATCATCACTACATATAACACACATCATCCATCATCACTACATATAACACCATCCATCATCACTACATATAACATCATCCATCATCACTACTTATAACACCATCCATTATCACTACATATAACACCATCCATCATCACTACAGATCGGTAAAGTAGTTTTCGAGATTCTCGTGCGGACACACAAACAAAAACACACACACAAACAAACAAACAACAACAACAACAACAACAACAACAACAACAACAATAATAATAATAATAATAATAATAACAACACGGTAGGACGCCACCCTCCGGGAGGCTCCACATTATCTCACTGTAGTGCATTAGGGTAGACCACATTATTATTTTATTGTCTAATCATCACTGCATATAACACCACCCATCATCACTACATATAACAACATCCATCATCACTACATATAACACCATCCATCATCACTACATATAACACCATCCATCATCACTACATATAACAATATCCATCATCACTACATATAACATCCTCCATCATCACTACATATAACACCATCCATCATCATCACTACATATAACACCATCCATCATCACTACAGATCGGTAAAGTAGTTTCCGAGATTCTCGTGCTTCTTATGGATACCCAGTCAAGTCGGTATCTTGGGGAATGAGGCAGCAGATGGCCTTGCCAAGACTGGCTGCAACAAGGCCACACCTGACTACGTATGTCTATGGGAAAGGATCGCGGAAAGGGGACGTGATTGCTGCCCGTATCATCATTGGGTATGACTTTGCTTGGGAGATTGGTATCCCCACATCCCCTGAGCAACGCTCTTGTGCATTATGCAGAAGACCCGACAGCCGCACCCTTATCCACTACCTCCTAAGATGTCCCCACACACAACGCTTCCGTGACGCCTGCTGGACCACCACTCCACGACCCCCTGACGGAGACACGATGATCCTCCCCATACTGGCCAGATATTTTGTAAATAACATTGATTATGTGTTAAAGGAATATCCTTCCTTCCTTAGGCTTTAGTAAGCCCCTTTATAATATTTATACTGTATATACTTGTCACACTTGCCAGATGCTTCTGGTGTCATTGTACAGGGGTACCTAGTGACAGCACTAGGATCCCGCTTCCCTATCAAGGAATAAACAATTGAAATTGAAATTGAAATTGAATTGATTCTCGTGCGGACACACAAACACACAGACAAACTTCTTTGTTATATATATATATATATATATATATATATATATATATATATATATATATATATATATATATATATATATATATATATATATATATATATATATTAACTTATTATATATCATGCGAAGTTACTTTTTGTATTTTAATATAATTTTCTTAATTCAGTCAATCTAATCTAGAATTCAAGCAAGATTTTCTGTTACTTATCATTAAATTGGCTGGCCTATCCAGGAGCCTATTAAACCACGAACTGCGGCTTTTGGGAAATCGAGTTTACCTCATGCATAAAACAAGGCATTTGATTTGATTGAAGATAAACAAATTTGAAACCTTACAAAACATATAAGACTTTTTACTCATCACGGGTGGAGAATTAAAAGTCTGTGAAGTGAGATGGAGGTAACTGGCAAAGGGTAGTGGTTGTGGTGACAAATATTTTGGTTGTGGCTATGCAGGGGACCAGGGGCGGTTTTTTTTAGTGCAATGGTGGTGGTAAGGCCTGGTGTAGGGGGTAGGCCAGGTTGTGGCGTTGATTTTAATATTGAAACAGTTTATTTGGCTAGAAGAATACAGATACAAAGTGGATACAAATAAAAATTTTGACATGACTGAGCCAATTGAGAGGCTAAGCACTCTTTGTGAATTATCATATAACATTTAATATCATCTGCAATAGTACACGTAACATGGTGTTAGTAAATACTTATGAGATTGTTAGCACAATTTTCACCTCTTTATTTATTTTATTTTATTTTTCTACATTTATATTATATATATATATATATATATATATATATATATATATATATATATATATATATATATATATATATATATATATATATATATATATATATATATATATATATATTTTACAGTGGAGTAGGTATACAGTATTCTGATAAGTGAGGG